CTCCTCAATGACAACGTCGTGGAGCTGGCGGATATTTGAGACTGTGCACCACCACCTTCTGCTTGAGGATGGCCCAAAGATGTTCTATTGGGTTCAAGTCTGGAGATATGCTTGGCCAGTCCATCACCTTTACCCTCAGCCTCTTCAGTAAAGCAGTGGTTGTCTTGGATGTGTGTTTGGGATCATTGTCATGGTGGAACACTGCTCTGCGACCCAGTTTCTGGAGGGAGGGGATCATGCTCTGCTGTAGTATTTCACAGTACATGTTGGAGTTCATGTTTTCCTCAATGAAATGTAACTCTCCAATACCTGCAGCACTCATGCGGCCCCAGACCATGACATTCCCACCACCATGCTTGACTGTAGGCATGACACACTTATCTTTGTACTCCTCACCTGGTCGCTGCCACACATGCTTAAGGCCATCAGAACCAAACAAATTAAATTTCGTCTCATCAGACCATAGGACATGGTTCCAGTAATCTATGGGCTTTGTTGACATGTCTTCAGCAAACTGTTTGCGGGCTTTCTTTTGTATTGCCTTCAGAAGAGGCTTCCTCCTGGGGTGACAGCCATGTACACCAATTTGATGTAGTGTGCATGCGTCTGAACACTCACAGGCTGAATCCCAATCTCTTTAATCTCTGCAGCAATGCTAACAGCACTCCTATGCCGATCTTTCAAAGAAAGCATTTGGATGTGACGCTCAGCACGTGCGCTCAGCTTCTTTGGATGACCTACCCGAAGCCTGTTCTGAGTGGACCCTGCTCTTTTAAAATGCTGGATGATCTTAGCCACTGTGCTGCAGCTCAGTTTCAGGGTGTTGGCAATCTTCTTGTAGCCTTGGTCATCTTTATGTAGTGCAACAATACGTTTTTTAAGATCCTCAGAGAGTTCTTTGCCATGTGGTGCCATGTTGGAACTTTCAGTGACCGGTAAGAGAGAGTGTTAGAGCTGCACTACAAATTTGAATACACCTGCTCCCCATGAACACATGGGCATAGTTACACTAATGAGTCACATGATATTTTGGATGGAAAATGAAAAGCAGTACTCAATTTAGACATTTAGGGGTGTAGTTTCTTGGGGTGTACTCACTTTTTTGGGGTGTAGTTTCTTGGGGTGTACTCACTTTTGTTGCCAGGGATTTAGCTTTTTTAATGGCTATATTTTGAGTTATTTTGAGGGGAAAAAAAATTAACTCTGTTATATACTGCAGACAGACTACTTTTCATTGTGTCAAAAGGTAATTTTTTCAGTGCTGTCCCATGAAAAGATATACTTAAATATTTGAAGAAATGTGAGGGGTGTACTCACTTTTGTGATACACTGTATATATATATATATATATTTATATTTATATACACAATTTTCATATATATATATATATATATATATATATATATATATATATATATATATATATATATATTTTTATGAATCTATGTATAATATATAAATATATATATATATATATTCCTGCAATTTTCCAGGATCATTTTATTTATTAGTAGTTGATATTTGCAACCATATGAACCTCTTCAACATTCCTTCTGTTCCAAGGGAAGAATGTTGTTTCTATCAAGAAAAGAGTAAGTAACATTCATCTGGACAGACCTGTTATTGGCCAGTAATTTTTGGGATCATCTGTTTAATCTGTTTTTGGTAGAAAATATGTAATACTTTCAGTGATTCATTCTGGAATTTCATTGGGGTTATTAATTAATACTGATAAAGTTTGTGCAAAAGATTTATCAACTGATGACAGATTACTAGTTGGGTACCTTGTCATTTCCTGGGAACCTACAACACTTTCCATATCATCTTGTTCTCTATGCCTTTAATTGCAATTTATGTTTAAGTATTTCCTTGATGGGTGAAATTTCATTTATTGCTTTAATTTTTCTATTTCTGCTTGATCTCCTTACTTTTCATGATGAAACATTTGAATTTCTTGAAATCTCATCAAGTATCGATAACTCATATCTGTTTTCCTTACTTTAATTGTGCCTTCCAAGTCGGCTCTTTTTATCTGTTGTTTAATCTTTTATTTGTCTTAATGTTAAGATTTTCAGTGGCTGTAAAAGATGTTGCAAATAATTACATTATTTACTTCTGTGATGTTTTCTAGTGGTCTTTCCATTAACAATGTTTCAGTGCAGTGTTATATGTTTGCACAGTGTATTTATTGGACTTTTGTCATATGAATTTTGGGAAGCCAGTCTCTTTTTGTTTGTGATTTATTTCTCTGACTATTTCAATGATGTGGTTTTTTGCTTCAATTATTTCAACTCTGTTGTTTTCAAGGCATTCTGCTCTAATGTCGTTTGATTCATCTTCATCAGTGACAGAATCTGAACCAGTGCAATTGTTTATATCGCAGCTAGATTCTTCCATTTTATTTCCTGAGAGATCATTATTTCATATCTCATTTATTTTAGTTTATACCTCATCCTCTGTCATATTATCTACTTTCACTCTTGCCTCATTTTTGTTTGGTTTATGGCTGATTGTCTTATATTTAGTTTTATCTTATCTATTTCTGTATTTGAGAGTCTTTTCTTTCACTTAATTTCCCTGCAGACATTGGCAAGCATATTTGGGTTGAGATAAGGTCTTATTTAATTCCTACCACATCTTTCCATATTTTGTATGTTTGATCTGTGATGTTCCTTTGTGGATTTTCAAGCGCCATGAAAAAAGATACTATGACTTGTTTATACTCTTCATGATTTCATTTCATTTGCTTTCTTTTTATTAATTGATTTGGCATTAAGTCACCAGGTCTAATGTTGGAATTGATCCAGTTTTGGAGACAAGGTATCTCATTGTTGGTGGAAGAGTTTGTTCCAGTAACAGATTTTTGGATCCTAGACTGGTTCCTCTTTAAGGGACTTGGCCTTTGTTTACCTGGGTGACAACTGATCTGGTATGTTTTTGTTTGTAAACAGTGAGATTTGCTAAGTGGTAATTTCAAGATTCAAGATATGACTGTCAACCAAAACTAAAGAGCTCATCTTACCCATGAGACACAGCTTTTCCCTGCCATATATCACTCCAATATTTCTAGGTTATGGAGATTTTTATTCATGCATTCATTATCATTATTCCTGACATTGTTATTATTATTATTTTTATTATTAATTGTTTAGTTGTAAATAATGTGTAGCATCCATTGATCTTTAGAGACCATGAATCTGTGTCCAAAGAGTTATGCCTCAGCTGCTGATGGCATTGCAGCATTTGTTATGGCTGTACAGGCCCACACAGGAGTGACAACCTTGATTGAAACAAATGTATAAGACATTCTCCCTCAATGTTGCTGTTTTCTTTTCTTTTGAGCATGCTTGTCCTTTGCAGCAAGCCTCTGTTTCTTCTATCCTCACTCCAACCCTCAGTGTAAATCACATCTCCAGTATGCACGATTGTTGGCGACATTTTCTCACCTCTTGATCTCCATGTCCATCACCCTCATGTCCATTTATTATTATTGCGTGTGGTAATATCTTATCAGAGAGTAATTTTAAGTGCCTAATTACCAAATAAGGAACTAACTAATAAGACTCTTTTGTCAACTAATTGATAAGAATGTTTCTAAAAAAAAGAATTTCAAAGGATAAGGGGAATGAAGAAAAAGATTGGGGACTTCAAAATAAAGCAGGTATATACATTTAACTATCTGGCTAGTGTAGTAATAGGTGATGGAAAATGTAAAACAAAAATCCAAAAGTGCATAAGTATAGCGTAAGATGCCTTCCAGAAACTAAGTATTAAGAGATAGGAAAATTTTGTTAGAAACAAAAAAATGTAATATCTACTTTCAAATATTGAACAAACTCTTCACAGATGAACAAGAAACAGGTGTAGCATCTGGGAATTTATTATTACGATTATTATTATTATTATTGAATGTGGTACCATGTTGTCAGAGGGTAATTTTAAGTGCCTAATTACTAAGTCCCCTACAGGATCTATGAATAAAAAAGGCACTATAGGAGAGTTATTAATGCACATTTGGGATGTTTCATTTAGATGGAGAGGGTTTGGAAGATGTTATATGCAGTTCTGTACAGAGTAATTTTTGTAATTCTGAGATGCTGATGTGTCCAGTAATTTTACTTAAATGATTTTCAATACGTTTCTTTATCATACCCAAAGGCTTCTATCCCATCAGGGACAATCGTAGTTTTAAGTTTCCACATTTTTGTTACTTTGATTTGCAAGTCCTTATAATATGGAAGTTTTTGAATTTTTTTTTAGAAATATTGGAATCCTGGGGGCAAATCATATGAATTAGTTGGCAGTTTCCTTTTTTAAAATCTCTTATGACTATATCAGGTCTATTTGCTTCAATTTTCCTGTGATGATTGGAAAACCCCATGGTATAGTCACCCTGCCACCATTTGTGACATCATTCAGTTGGTGTTTGCACCATGTATTCAGGATTTCAATACCGTAGTTTGAACCGACATGCCAATGAATATATTGTCCTAGACAGTAATATCTAATAATGTATTCTTTCTCAGCAATGACTGGACATATAAGGTCAAGAGTTTCATCAAATTTATGGCATATGCAACAGGTGGAATTTGAGCCATCTTTGTTGACTTTAGAGATGTAGATGTGATGCCATAATAAGGACTTCTTTCTCCCCTTTAAGACACTACTTCTAAGCCATTGATGAGTCTGGAGGAAATTGATGTTTGGTCCATCCAAATGCTTTGGGTACTTTCTCCGTTTTTGTTCAGGAATTTTCATATTAGCAGCTTTTGCTAATAGCATAATTTTCTTTGCTGCAGAAGAAGAAAGAAAGAAAAACAGAAAGAAAGTAAAAAGAGCAAAACAATCAGTAGTGACAGTGAAGAAGAAGAAGAAGAAGAAGAAGAAGAAGAAGAAGAAGGAGCAAAAGCAGAAGAAGAAGAAGAAGAAGAAGAAGAAGAAGAAGAAGAAGAAGGAGCAAAAGAAGAAGGAGGTATCATAGTTGCTGCTTTACTAGTTTTTCATAGAAAAAATAAAAGGAAGAAAGATAAATATATGAATATAAGGAGAAAGTAAGAAAGAAAGATTGTTAGAAAGAAAGAAAGAAAGAAAGATTGGAAGAAAGAAAGATTAGAAGAAAGAAAGAAAGAAAGAAAGAAAGAAAGAAAGACTGGTAATGTCATCCAATTTTATAATCATTACAATGTCTACTTGAAATTAGAAACAAAAAATGGTGAAATAATCATAAACAAAAAACATTAAAACTTTGAGGATATAAGTTTGGTAGGTTTTTGGTAAATTTCATCTTCCTCTCATTAATATGGTTGAACAAGTGACAGACAAATCGAGATTAAAAAGTTTCTAGATTTCTAAGAGAATGGGCAAAGAAATGAGATGTTAACAGGGTTAAGAATGTAAGGTTAGGAATCATGGCAGAAATTGAAGAGCAGGACAGAAACCAAAAATACTTTACAAATTCAAGTACATGAGGTGCCAAAGAAGAAGAAGAGGAAGAAATTATGGTTGCTGCCTCATTTGTTTTTCATGGAAAAAGGAAAAGAATAAGAGAGAAAAAGAAAATCTGGATATAAGTTACAAAACTTACTCTACAATAAACTATCATAATTTCAGTCTCAAGAATTAATTGAAACATTATTCTTGAAGAAATTGGTGAATGATACTCAGAATTCCCAAGAGAATTATTCTTCCTTGTCCTTGCTTCCTTGTCTGCAAATGATGGAGATTTGTATTGATTGTTCAGAATCCTTTCTCTTTGAAAATTTCATTATTTGAAGAAAACTAATAAAAAATAAAAACAAGAAATTAATTTTTTTTTTTTATTTCTGGTGAAGATTACTTAGTTTTGGTTTTTCTGCTAAAAGTTGTTGGTCGATGAAAACAAAGAATAATTTACTGTCATTCCAACTTATTTCATGGTTAAAGAGTCGAATAAGCAGTAAGTACAAACACCCCTGCCCCAACCCCTGCAAAAAAAGTATTAATTTGATATGGATATCAATCACAAGAAGGGACAAAAAGTATATTTCATTGGTATGCTTTTTTTTTGGCGGGGGGGGGGGGTATTTGCGCGATCCCCTCCCCCCACCTTCGAAAAGGAAAAGAAAACTTCTGAAATGACCTAGAAAAAAACAAACAAACAAAAGTTTCGTTTTAAAGTGAAATGATGAGAAATCTAGATTAGTATGTTTGGGAATTGACACCAATGAGGGAAGTAATGTAAATTGTCTTTAAATATCAAATGAAATGAAAGAAAATGGAAATAAAGAAAAACTAATGGATAATGTTGAACATATGAAAAATTCAGAAAGAAAGAAAAAAAGAAAGAAAGAAGAAGAAAAACCAGGATGGTAATGTTAAAAAAAAAAAAAGAAATATCAAGTGAAAGAAAAGGGAAAGAAAGAAAAATGATGGACAATATTGAACATATGAAAAATTCAGAAAGAAAGAAAGAAAGAAAGAAAGAAAGAAAGAAAGAAAGAAAGAAAGAATTATGAAATGAAAGAAAAATGAAAGAAGGAAAAGATGATGGATAATGTTGAACATATTAAGCTAAAGTCCAAAATGAAAGAGAGAAAGAAGAAATAAAGAAGGATAAAGTGTAAGGAAAAGGAAAGCCAAAAAGGTAATGGTGAAGAAAGAAAGAAAGACAGAAAGAAAGATAGAATGTAAAAGAAAAGCTGGAAGTTAATGAAGGACAAAGAAAGAAATATAAAGAGAAAGAAAAAAGAAAGCCAGAAGAATAATGCTGAATAAAGAAAGAAAGACTGAATGAATGATTAAAAGAAAAGGGAAGGAAAGAAAAGATGATGGATAATGTGGAACAAATGATAAAGTCCAAAATGAAATAGAAAAAGAAAAAAAAAGAAAGAAATATAAAGAGAAAGGAAAAAAGAAAAGCCAGAAATGTAATGTTGAAGAAAGAAAGAAAGAAAGAAAGAAAGAAAGAAAGAAAGAAAGAAAGAAAGAAAGAAAGAAAATAGGAATGGGATAAAGAAAGAAAGAAAGAAAGAAAGAAAGAAAGTAAGAAAGAAAGAAAGAAAGAAAGAAAATAGGAATGGGATAAAGAAAGAAAGAAAGAAAGAAAGAAAGAAAGAAAGAAAGAATGAAAAAGAGAAAAAGGAAAGCTGGAAGGTTAATGAAGAATAAAAAAGAAAGAAATAGAAACAGACAGAAAAAGAAAGAAGAGAAAGCTGAAGTAAAAGAAAAGGAAATGAAAGGAAAAAGAAAATAAGTTGTAATAGCAAACTCATCTCATTACTAAAGTGAACTTGATCCTCTCTGGGTTAGCTATATATGTGGCCTTGAGTCCGACTTATTTAGCTTAATAATTCCTAACAAAGTAGTCTAAAGAGAGCATATTAACCCGCAATGGCCCAACACTGAAACGCCAGCCTGACCATTCCCATTTGCCAGTTATTTATCTTCCTCCCATAGCCACCTCCATCAATTCCAAAATGCATCTCTCCCGCCCTTTTCATTATTTGTATCCAGCTTCATCTATAGATGTTGAGACAGTTTAGTGCTAATTGTTTTGTTGATCAAGAGATTGATCGGCTGGACTTTACTTTGTTGATTGGCGTTTTCAGGCGTGTAAGGATGAGGCTTGCAGAAGCAAGAATCAGAGGAATGATGTACGGCGAGTGGCGGGGATGGTATAAATTTTGAACGCACCATTTGCAAGAGAAATTCAAAAAACTTGGGTTCTTTGCACTGCCTGCCGAAGCATGATAAAAGATGTTCTTCTGTAGTTGTAATAACAATTATTGTGAGTTTAATTTGACAATTATTCTCAATAAATAAATACAGAAAAAAACATGATCAATGTTATAAGACTCCTATTCTTTATTTTCTATTTTTTTTTATTTTTATTCTCGACTGACTCACCAGTGATTTAGACATTTTATTTTGACATTTCTTAATTTGTAATTTCTTATCTTTCCACAGGTTTTCCTTTGAGGATATTATATTTGTATGTCTCTCTTTTATTCTTGATTTCTTTCCTTTTTCTTTTTCCTTTGCTTTTTTCTAAATAGATTTGTTCTCTTATAGTTCTTTTCTTTATCTCTCTTTTTTATTGTTTTTCTTTATTGTTCTTTTTTTTTTCTTTGTCTCTCTCTTTCCCCTTTTCTTATTTTCTTTTCTTTTATGTCTCTCTTTTCCCTTTCTTATTTTCTTCTTTTGTTCTTTTCTTTTTTCTTTTCTTTTATGTCTCTCTTTTCCTCTTTCTTATTGTTCTTTTCTTTATGTCTCTCTTTTCCCCTTTCTTATTGTTCTTTTCTTTATGTCTCTCTTTTCCCTTTCTTATTGTTCTTTTCTTTATGTCTCTCTTTTCCCCTTTCTTATTGTTCTTTTCTTTATGTCTCTCTTTTCCCCTTTCTTATTGTTCTTTTTCTTTATGTCTCTCTTTTTTCCTTATTGTTCTTTTCTTTTTCTTTTTGTTTTTTTCTTTGTCTTTTCTGTTTCCCTTTTCCCTTTCTTATTGTTCTTTTTCTTTATGTCTCTCTTTTCTTCTTTCTTATTGTTCTTTTCTTTATGTCACTCTTTTCCCCTTTCTTATTGTTCTTTTCTTTATGTCTCTCTTTTCCCCTTTCTTATTGTTCTTTTCTTTATGTCTCTCTTTTCCCTTTCTTATTGTTCTTTTCTTTATGTCTCTCTTTTCCCCTTTCTTATTGTTCTTTTCTTTATGTCTCTCTTTTCCCCTTTCTTATTGCTCTTTTTTCTTTATGTCTCTCTTTTCCCCTTTCTTATTGTTCTTTTCTTTATGTCTCTCTTTTCCCCTTTCTTATTGTTCTTTTCTTTATGTCTCTCTTTTCCCCTTTCTTATTGTTCTTTTCTTTTTGTCTCACTTTTCCCTTTCTTTCTTTTATTGTTTCTCTTTCCCCTTTCTTATTGTTCTTTTCTTTTTCTCTCCCCCTTTCTTATTGTTCTTTTCTTTATGTCTCTCTTTTCCCCTTTCTTATTGTTCTTTTCTTTATGTCTCTCTTTTCCCTTTCTTATTGTTCTTTTCTTTATGTTCTCTTTTTCCCTTTCTCTTATTGTTCTTTTTCTTTTATGTCTCTCTTTTCCCCTTTCTTATTGTTCTTTTCTTTTTTATGTTCTCTTTTCCCCTTTCTTATTGTTTTTCTTTTCTTTATTCTCTTTTCCCCTTTCTTATTGTTCTTTTCTTTTTCTCCCCTTTCTTATTGTTCTTTTCTTTATGTCTCTCTTTTCCCCTTTCATTGTTCTTTTTTTTATGTCTCTCTTTTCCCCTTTCTTATTGTTCTTTTTCTTTATGTCTCTTTTCCCCTTTCTTATTGTTCTTTTCTTTTATGTCTCTCTTTTCCCTTTCTTATTGTTCTTTTCTTTATGTCTCTCTTTTTCCCCTTTCTTATTGTTCTTTTCTTTATGTCTCTCTTTTCCCCTTTCTTATTGTTCTTTTTTTTATGTCTCTCTTTTCCCCTTTCTTATTGTTCTTTTCTTTATGTCTCTCTTTTTGTTTCTTTTTTATGTGTCTCTTTTCCTTTCTTATTGTTCTTTTCTTTTTCTCTCTTTTCCCTTTTATTGTTCTTTTCTTTATGTCTCTCTTTTCCCCTTTCTTATTGTTTTTTCTTTATGTCTCTCTTTTCCCCTTTCTTATTGTTCTTTTCTTTTATGTCTCTCTTTTCCTTTTCTTATTGTTCTTTTCTTTATGTCTCTATTTTCTTTCCCTTAGTTTCTTATTGTTTTTCCTCTCTTTTCTTTTCTTATTGTTCTTTTCTTTATGTCTCTTTTCCCCTTTCTTATTGTTCTTTTCTTTATGTCTCTCTTTTCCTTTTTTATTGTTCTTTTTCTTTATGTTCTTTTCTCTCTTTTCCCCTTTCTTATTGTTCTTTCTTTTATTCTTTCTTTTTCTTTTGTTCTTTTTTATGTTTCCCCTTTCTTATTGTTCTTTTCTTTATGTCTCTCTTTTCCTCTTTCTTATTGTTCTTTTCTTTATGTCTCTCTTTTCCCCTTTCTTATTGTTCTTTTCTTTATGTCTCTCTTTTCCCCTTTCTTATTGTTCTTTTCTTTATGTCTCTCTTTTCCCTTTCTTATTGTTCTTTCTTTTATTGTCTTCTTTTTTCTCTTTTTATTGTTCTTTTCTTTTGTCTCTTTTCCCTTTCTTCTTTTCTTTTTGTCTTCTTTTCTTTTTATTGTCTTTTCTTTTTACCCCTTTCTTATTGTTCTTTTCTTTATGTCTCTCTTTCCCCTTTCTTATTGTTCTTTTCTTTATGTCTCTTTTCTTCTTTCTTTTCTTTCCCATTTCTTTTATTCTTATTTTCTTTATGTCTCTCTTTTCCCCTTTCTTATTGTTCTTTTCTTTTATCTCTCTTTTCCCCTTTCTTATTGTTCTTTTCTTTATGTCTCTCTTTCCCCTTTCTTATTGTTCTTTTCTTTATGTCTCTTTTCCCCTTTCTTATTGTTCTTTTCTTTTGTCTCTCTTTTCCCCTTTCTTATTGTTTCTTTTCTTTATGTCTCTCCCCCTTTTCCCCTTTCTTATTGTTCTTTTCTTTATGTCTCTCTTTTCCCTTTCTTATTGTTCTTTTTCTTTATGTCTCTTTTCCCTTTCTTATTTTTTTTCTTTTATGTCTCTCTTTTCCCTTTTTCTTATTGTTCTTTTCTTTATGTCTCTCTTTCCCCTTTCTTATTGTTCTTTTCTTTATGTCTCTCTTTTCCCTTTCTTATTGTTCTTTTCTTTTATGTCTCTCTTTTCCCCTTTCTTATTGTTCTTTTCTTTTATGTCTCTCTCTTTCCCCTTTCTTATTGTTCTTTCTTTTATGTCTCTTTTTCCCTTTCTTATTGTTCTTTTCTTTATGTCTCTCTTTTCCCCTTTCTTATTGTTCTTTTCTTTATGTCTCTCTTTTCCCCTTTCTTATTGTTCTTTTCTTTTATGTCTCTTTTCCCTTTCTTCTTGTTCTTTCTTTTATTTCTTTTCCCTTTCTTGTTCTTTTCTTTATATCTCTTTTCCCTTTCTTATTGTTTCTTTTTTTTTTGTCCTCTTTTTCCCCTTTCTTATTGTTCTTTTCTTTATGTCTCTCTTTTCCCCTTTCTTATTGTTCTTTTCTTTATGTCTCTCTTTTCCCCTTTCTTATTGTTCTTTTCTTTATGTCTCTCTTTTCCCCTTTCTTATTGTTCTTTTCTTTATGTCTCTCTTTTCTTTCTTATTGTTCTTTCTTTTCCCCTTTATGTCTTTTCTTTTATTTTTTTTATTGTTCTTTTCTTTTCCCTTTTTTTCCCCTTTCTTATTTTCTTTTTTTTATGTCTCCCTTTCCCTTTCTTATTGTTCTTTTTTTATGTCTCTTTCCCCTTTCCTTTATTGTTCTTTTCTTTTTATGTCTCTCTCTCTTTTCCCCTTTCTTATTGTTCTTTTCTTTTTGTTCTTTTCTTTATTGTTCTTTTCTTTATGTCTCTCTTTTCCCCTTTCTTATTGTTCTTTTCTTTTATGTCTCTCTTTCCCTTTTTCTTATTGTTCTTTTCTTTATGTCTCTCTTTCAAATTTTCTTTTCTTTATGTCTTTCTTCTTATTGTTCTTTTCTTTATGTCTCTCTTTCCCTTTCTTTTGTTCTTTTTTATTGTTCTTTTTTCTTTATTGTTCTTTTTCTTTATGTCTCTCTTTTCTTCTTATTGTTCTTTTTCTTTTTCCTTTCTTTTTTCTTTTTGTTCTTTTCTTTTATGTTTTCTCTCTTTCTTATTTTCCTTTATGTCTCTTTCCCCTTTCTTATTGTTCTTTTTCTTTATGTCTCTCTTTCCCCTTTCTTATTGTTTTTTTCTTTATGTCTCTCTTTTCCCCTTTTCTTATTGTTCTTTTTTTTCTCTCTTTTTTTATGTTCTTTTCTTTTTCTTCTTTTCTTATTGTTCTTTTTCTTTATGTCTCTCTTTTCCCCTTTCTTATTGTTCTTTTCTTTATGTCTCTTTTCCCTTTCTTATTGTTCTTTTCTTTTATGTCTCTTTTCCCCTTTCTTATTGTTCTTTTCTTTTATGTCTCTCTTTTTCCCCTTTCTTATTGTTCTTTTCTTTATGTTTCTTTCCCTTTCATTGTTTTTTCTTTTATGTCTCTCTTTTCCCTTTCTTATTGTTCTTTTCTTTTTATCTCTTTCCATTTTTCCCCTTTCTTTTTGTTCTTTTCTTTATGTCTCTTTTCTTTCTCCCTTTCTTTTGTTTTTTTTTTCTTTCTTTCTTCTTTCTTATTGTTCTTTTTTATTCTCTTTTGTACTTTTCTTCTTATTGTTCTTTTTCTTATTGTTCTTTTCTTTTTATTGTTCTTTTTTTTCCTCTTTTTTATTCTTATTTTCTTTTTTTTATTCTTTTTTCCCCTTATTTTCTTTTCTTTATTGTCTTCTTTTCTTTCTTATTGTTCTTTCTTTATGTCTCTTTTTCTTTCTTATTGTTCTTTTCTTTTATCTCTCTTTTTCCCCTTTCTTATTGTTCTTTTTTCTTTATGTCTCTTTTTCCCTTTCTTATTGTTCTTTTCTTTTTCTCTCTTTCTCTCTTTTCCCCTTTCTTATTGTTTCTTTTCTTTTTTGTCTCTTTTTCCCCCCTTTTTATTTTCTTTTCTTTTTCCTTTTCTTTATTGTTCTTTTCTTTATGTCTCTTTTTCCCCTTTCTTATTGTTCTTTTCTTTTATGTCTCTCTTTTCCTCTTTCTTATTGTTCTTTTCTTTTGTCTCTCTTTTCCCT